TATATATATATATATACATATCTATGTGTGTGTGCGCGCGCGCCGTATAGTCAGATTAGTTGGTCGGACATCTACTTGTTTGTTGTAAGTCCCCTTTGATCTGGGATTCGATTCCTATATATATATATATTATTTATATTGATAGCCACTAAAAATTTTGATATAGTAATAAAGACGTTACACAACAATTGACAAAAAAAAATCAAGTTATGATGAATCAACATTTATTTATTAAGAAAAGTATAAAGTGTCAGGCATATATGCATATCCAATTTAAGAAAATTTAAACATTGTGTATCCAAAAATAATTGATTTTAATTTAATAAATAATTAATAAATGTGTAATTAGATGTTAATTTTGTATATTTTATGTTGCATCACACTTATGTATCAAATCTTACTAACGTTAAATTTACCCCATACATGAAAGCATTATGGCAATAAATAATTAATAATTTTCGTAATGACTATAAAATTACTTTAAATTTATTGTGCATTTTTTCTTAATATTAAAATAATAGAAGAAAAAAATACAATTAAATTTTTTGGCATTTATAAATAAAAGATGAAGGAAAATTTTATGAGAATTAATATCACTAAATAAATTATGGGAGAGCAAACATATGCAAGAAAATGTAGCCTCATCTAATAATAAATATGATCTAACATAATATTTTTCCAAAAAAAAAATTAATATTTAAATTTATTTTTTGAGAGTGTATTCAAATTTTTTCAATTTTTTATCTATGGAAGAAATTTGTGTAATTTATTTCTTAAAACATGTTTGAGGTCTGTCGATACAAGGTCTAAATTGTTCAATTTTTTAAAATTTAGTTACATAATGTCTAAAACATACAAGCAATTTTACTGAGGGGATTGTATTAGATAATTCAATATTCATTCCACGTATTAAAGCGATGTTGTAAGGAACCGATTGTGAAGCCCAACAATTCTCAGTCAATTTGTATTAACCTGCATGAATATCAAGTTTTTCTTTTTCCTGAGAATCCACAGATAGATTTTTGCTAAATGTACAATTTGCCAAACTTATAAAGGTATACCTTAAAATACTAGTTTAAATACTACTAATTGGTTGCCGAATCTAGAAAAAAATTGGGAAGAAGTTAGTCTAGACTCCATATTGGGACTGCCAAGAGCCAAAAGTTGATTCTATAATGATGGTTGGGGACAGATTTTCTAAGATGACTCACTTTATTTCCTGTTAGATAACTTTTGATGCTAGTCACAAAGCTCGACTCTTCTTTTACGAAATTTTTTGTATTCATGGTATTCCCTGCAGACTCACTTTCAATCATGATGTTAAGCTTGTTAGTCGTTTTTGGAAGGAAGTACATGAATTTTTATAAACGTAGTTTCATCAGAATTCAGCATACCACACTCAATCTGATAGCCAAACCGAAGTCATCAATCCTACATACTTTTGGTAATATGTTTCGTTGCTCGGTAAAAGACAAGCTAAAATGGGGGGATGAGGTCCTCGGCCAAGCTTAATTTGCTTACGACTCTATAGCAAATTGACCTAATAATTTATGTCCATTTGCTATTTAATGTTTATACTAAATTTACTAATCATGTTATTGATGTAGAGTCTCCCGCCCAAATGCAAAAGTCAAGGAGCAACAACCATGCCAGATAGCACCACCAATTTAATTCAGGAAATACATTCTAAACTGTTGGAGGCAAATGACAAATATAGGTAACAAGCGAACCAACATCGGCATCTCAAACTTTTCAAACAAAGTGGTCTTGTCATGGTTCAAATGCGTAAAGAGAGATTTTCACCAAGACCTATTTGAAGTTGTGCCCTAGGAAACTAGGACTTTTTTCTATGACTAAGAAAATCAACGATAACGCTTACATGATGGTTCTATCTTCCGACATGCTTGCCTCTTCTAGTTTCAACGTTTCTGATATATATGCACATCAACGTCCAAAGAAACCACAGATCGATTGACTTTACTCGAGTCAAGTTCTTTGGAAATAGGGGAGACTTAGTGCAGCATTTCCCATTATTTCCTTTTAACCATATTAGGTACTAGTTTAATTAACTAATATATATTTTCTTTGTTTCGTTTAGTATTTTTGTTTTAGTTGGGGCCGTATGCTTAAGGACCGAAAACATGCATTATGATTGTAAGTAGTGGAGGGAAAAATATTGGGTTCGTATGTCGTATATTTAGTGGCGTGGTGTGATCCACACCATCTACCTTACATTCAGTTTATCGTCTGTAATATTTTTTTTTGTAGTGGAGGGCAGACAATATGTTGTTGCGGTAAGGGTTTGTTTGGGGCAGTTGTAGTTTCTCAGTTTCTCTGTTGGAACTACACTGCCCCATGAAGCTGCTGCGAGTAAGGGTCTGTTTGGGGCAGCTGCAGCTTATGCAGCTTTTGCTGATAAGCAGCTTATCCTGATAATAAGCAGCTTATCCTGATAATCTGCTGATTATCAGTTGATCCGGATAAGTTGTCTGACTGTTTGGTTAGCGCTTATGGAAAACAGCTGATTCCAAAAAATTGACCATTCTGCCTCTGTTCTGAATAAGCAGTTTAACTGTTTGATTAGTGCGTTTTGTAAACAGCTTATGTGAAAAAAAAATGATACATTCATCACCATTAACTTCATACATAGTAAATTTCACAATTACTTGAAATTGGTTGTAAGCATGCATGTTCTTCATTAATTCAGAATGAATGCTAAATGAGGTTACATCAAATGCATCAACAGTTATATCCGTTAGTAGAGGAAACAAACTAGCTTGGATAATTTGAAAATGTAAATATTTCAGTTACATTTTTCTACTCCGAAAAAGTACAGAAATTGCTATTTTTAAAAACTGACTTTGAAGCTCCTTCAACATCAGTGCATTAGAAAATTTACAGATATCATCAATATACAGATATCATTCAACAACTCTACAGAAGAAGAATAAAAAATGAAAATTTACATACATACCACTAAAAAATAAAAATTTGTTTTGAAACTCAGAACTCAAAGAAAACCAAAGAAATGAAAATTTACATACATACCACAAAATTCCTATATAAATACATATTTGACACCTAAACTTCATTCATATTTTTTTTCATCTCTTCTCCAAGCATCTGAAATTTAGACAATGTAAGCCTTAGAAGAACAAATGCAGCTTGAACAATTATTGCTTTTGCCAACTGGGAGGTATTTATAAGAATCTACAAACAACATTGCAATCATTATCTGCAAAGAAAGAAGTGCACTAAAATGATGACAATGCATATGTTCACTTACTAAGTGGTTAATGAGAAATTCAGGCACTTCAAATGGTGGACGAAAACCAGAATTATACTCGGCACTGTGATTAATAGAATTTGAATTTTGGTCACCATATGAAAGTGGAACAGCTTGGTAACCACCAAAACCTGTTGCTTCTGATTTCTTCCCGAACTCTGCAAGGAAGAATGAATAGCTCTCAATCATTAAAAGGTTGTAAAATGTCAAAAAATATCAGATAAAAGATAATAGCATATTACTAAGAAAAACGTCAAGAGTACATAGAAGCCTCTTACTTGACAGTGTCAGAGAGGATCATGAAGTAAATAAAGCATCCTTTCCTGCAAACTTAAAAGCTAGAACTCACCATTATCTTAATTAAATTAGGCTCTCTTCATAGTAACTAGGTTAGCCAAAAAGTCTCAAAATAAAAGAAAAGGAAAAAATGATAATTTCAAAAGTTATTTCCTTTATGGCACA